GGACCTCTAGTATACATATAAGATCTTTGGTTAATCTCTTCCTGCTCTCCCCCCACCCTTCCCCCTGAGATTCATCAGTCTGTTCCATGTTCCTATGCCTGTGCTTTAATCGTCTGCCCCCTGGTGGTCAGTGTATGTCATAGCTACCGGTAGAATGGTCGAATGGCTGGACATTTAGCATATTAGCCCTTTATATATACAGATATTTTTATAATAAGGTTTAATAGTAAATGTTTTTTTAATCTGAAAATTGTGGGCCACATGGATACATTGGTCTATTGAAATATTAGATACAGCCGAAACCGGTTTAGCTCAGTGGATAGAGCGTCGGCCTGCAGACTGAGAGGTCCCAGGTTCGATTCCGGTCAAGGACATGTACCTGGGTTGCAGGCATATACCCAGTAGGAGATGTGCAGGAGGCAGCTGATCGATGATTCTCTCTCATCGATGTTTCTAACTCTCTATCTCTCTCCCTTCCTCTCTGTAAAAAATCAATATAATATATTTAAAAAAAAAAGAAATATTAGATACATAGCGATCTCATTAATGTACAACAATGGCATGTTACTCCAATAATGTCAGGTCAGAGCATGCTCACATCTGTAGAAAGAGGGCTAATGTTCAGTTTTGATATCCAAGCATGTATAAGACAGGGAATTATTTTTGTCTTTTTTATTTTCAAAAATTAGATTTTAAGAATATTGATTTTATTGCTTAAACATGAAAAAGGATTAATTACTTCAATTTCCTACTAGATCTTCAATTTGGCCTAATAATGGGCCAACAGAAACACATCTGGTCATACTGCTGATAAACGTCTACTGGCAAAGGTAGGCAGTGTTGTCTTGTACAAGATGGATTTCTCTTTTTTAAAAACAGAACTGTATGACAAATAGCTGTTGTGAACGGAAATTAAAGCTAACACATTTTTTTGCTGTTATCTAGAAGGAATTGCTTTTTAGCCCCACATACTCAAGTACCAATAGATTTCTGGCCTCATATTTGAAAAGAAACATTCTGACAAAGGATAAAGATCTGGAAAAATAAACATCATATTTTCTACGAGTAAAAACACAAAAAATGCTACCTTCTACTTTGGGTTGCACTAGCTCATAAATACATTTGAGACAAATAAAAATTCTTTCTTTATAAAGTTCAAGAAATTCTCTTCAAATGCCTCTCCTGGCTCAGGTATACGAAACGACTAAACATGTAACAAAACAGTATAGATGTTTTAATTAAAATATCTGGAACAGCACTTTTTTTAAAAAAAATGAACTATCAGATTATATTAGTAATATGTCTGATCTCCCTAATATAGTTACAGCATACAAGTTTTATTTTTAAGTGTTAAACAACAGTAAAACAGATCTTTTGTGATAGTATCTACTATACCAGTAGTCAGCAAACTGCAGCTCGCGAGCCACATGCGGCTCTTTGGCCCCTTGAGTGCCAGGGTCCAACCCCAGCGGGTCCAGGGGTTCCCAAAGGCGTAGACGGAGTCGGCGAAGAAGGAAGGACACGGAGACAGCGTTCAGTTGATCAGCAGCCTAGCCAGGATCTCTAACCAGGATCTCCAGCCAAGTTCTGGTCTGGATCTCCAGCGAAGTTCTGGTTAGTATCTCCAGCCAGGTTCTCCAGGTTCTCCAGCCAGGTTCTGTAGCCATGTTCCCTTGCTAGGTTCTCCAGCCAGGTTCTGTGTCCATGTTCTCTTGCTAGGTTCTCCAGGCTCTCCAGCCAGGTTCTGTAGCCATGTTCTCTCGCTAGGTTCTCCAGCCAGGTTCAGTCACCAGGTTCTAGTCAGGTTCTCTTGCCAATTTCTGTAGTCAGGTTCAGTCCAGGATCTTTTGCCATGTTCTCTCCAGCGAAGTTCTTCTGTCTCTAGGTTCTGTGTAGGTTCTGTCTTCTGAGTTCTGTGTTCTAAGCTCTGTTTTCTAAGTTCTGTGTCTTGCTGTCTTATTACATCTGTATTTATACCAGTTGATTCAATCCTATCATTCTCTATTACAAAGGTTAGGGCATTTCTTATCTCCATTCCAGGGAGTAAAGATTATGTAGCTTAAGCATGATTGTTCATAGTTAAAGTGATTAATTACCCGCCTGGCACTTAGTTAAGAGGTTTTATTCCCTCCCTAACTTCAGGGGAAAATCCCTACCTGGGGAAACAACCTTTCTCAGAGACCTTGGTTAAAACACATAGTGCCAAGAAGGTGAGCAAACATATTAAGAACAGTATGCCATATATGCCAGGTCCCTTGAAACAGCAAGCATGGACCGGCTCCCGGCACTTGAGTGTGGCTCTTCCACAAAATACCGACTTCTGTGCATGGGCCATGAAGTTTCAATCACACTGTACATGTGAGCCCGCATGTGGTATTTTGTGGAAGAGCCACACTCAAAGGGCCCAAGAGCCGCATGTGGCTCGCGAGCCGCAGTTTGCCGACCACTGTACTATACCAATAATATCAAATATTCAAAAGGCAATAATAGCCCAGCCGATGTAGCTTAGTGGCTGAGCGTTGACCTATGAACCAGGAGGTCACGGTTCGATTCCCAGTCAGGGCACATGCTTGGGTTGCAGGTTTAATCCCCAGTAGGGGACATGTAGGAGGCAGCCAATCAATGATTCTCTCTTATTATTGATGTTTCTCTCTCTCTCTCTCTCTCTCTCTCTCTCTCTCCCTCTCTCTCCCTTTCTCTCTGAAATCAATAAAAAATATATATTTTTATAAAAGGCAGTAACATCACTTAAACTAATTTCAAGACAACTTTTCATTTAAAGAGCAACTTCCTGCCATAAATCTTTCTTAAATGACAACAAAAACAATACAAGTATGAGAAATATAAACTCTTAATTGTTACAAAATGCCCTAATCTGCAGGCAGTTTAAATAGCCTAAATTACATAGACACAATAATAATATATAAGAAGCTCATAGGTTAGAAAATACTGTAATATTTCAAATTATTGCTTACTATCAGTGAGTCAACCCAGAGCACTTGAGTTGACATATAAAGGCTTATAACTTCAGGAAAAGAATTCACTTTGTGGGAAATATGGCCAAAGAAGAAAAAACAAGCTATTAAGCCATTTTACCTACTAATGCCTCCTCCTCACCTTCCAACACTGACTCAGAATACAGTTAAATAACAGTCTTAGATGTGTCTGACATTGCCAGCTCCTGCTATTTACTCCCACCTAAATCCATTCTGACTTTTATGCTATGTATCTCCTACTTGCTGTCTCAGCAACAAGTGAAGATAATATGGCTGAAGGTGAAGTCCAAACAGAAATTTTAGGAACCCAAGAAGCACCAGAACTACTAGCTTTATAAATAACCTAAGACAGATTAGAAACCAAAGTAATGCCAATTTTGCATTTCTTAAATAATGTCACTATTAATTGCCCAAAAAAAGCATTGACTTAAATTCTCCAGCATAAAATTGGAAAAAAAATTTAATCAGCTCTGGTGAGTTTCCACAAAATCGCTCATTTAAAAAAACATTTCTTAAATACCATAAAATACGCTGTGCTAGACATCATGTGGGACTCAGACATGAGTAACTAATCTAGTTGGGGAAAGAAGACAGAATAAAACAGAAGAAATGAAGTGTTTTTATAGATATAAAACTCAGGAAGAGAGAAAGGGGCAGTTAATTGCAACTGGAAAAGGCTTCACATGGTAGAGGTAGTAATGAAGCTGAGACTTGAAGGTTGCAAAAATTTCTACAAATCAAAGTATTGGAAAGAAAGAACATTCTAGGCTCTGAAAGACTGCTGGGCACATTCTCAGGGATGACAACATAAGCAGGGAAGTGCAGCACTCCTGGGGAATGTCATGAACAATGCCTCTGGAAATGCATGCTTGGCAGAGGAGAGAAAGGAAGGTTTTCTGGGTCAGTGACTCCCATAACTGGCTGCATATTGAGTCGCCTGAGTTGTTTGAAATGCAGATTATCAAATCCTAGTAGAAACAGAAAATTTTCATTTTTTTAAGCCTTGACAGTAATTCTTACTTTCAGTCAGATTTTAGTACAGTATGACAAACTGCAGGATTGAACCAAAGAGGTAGAACTAACAGAAAATACCAACTACTGAGATGTGAGGTTAATGGAAAAGAAGAACCAGAAGTTTACTTAAGGTCTAAACAAATAGGAAAGTAAGTACACCATAGGACAGTGATGGCGAACCTTTTGAGCTCGGCGTGTCAGCATTTTGAAAAACCCTAACTTAACTCTGGTGCCGTGTCACATATAGAAATTTTTTGATATTTGCAACCATAGTAAAACAAAGACTTATATTTTTGATATTTATTTTATATATTTAAATGCCATTTAACAAAGAAAAATCAACCCAAAAAATGAGTTTGCGTGTCACCTCTGACACACGTGTCATAGGTTCGCCATCACTGCCATAGGAGAACATAACACGTAAGAAGGGCCAAATGTCTGTAGGAAAAGACATCACATTTGGATATTCTGAGGTTGAGATCCTGATCAGATAGGAAACTTGGTTCTACAAATTCAGGAAAATTAACTTCATATTTAAACATATACTATATGCTACCCTAGCCAGTTTGGCACAGTTGATAGAGTGTCGGCCTGCGGACTAAAAGGTCCGAGTTTGATTCTGGCCAAGGGCACATGCCTGGGTTACGGGTTCGATCCCCATTAGAGGGCATGCAGGAGGCAGCCAGTCAATGATTCTCTCTCATCATTGATGTTTCTATCTCTCTCTCTCTCTCCCTTCCTCTCTGAAATCAATAAAAATATATTTTTTTAAAAACCAAACATATACTATATGCTGACACCTCTTCTAGGGTTGCTATGAACTGCTATTCTCTCCACCAATACATGAAGGACATATATATTACAAACTTAAGAACTCAAATATTTGTTAAACAATAAAAGTTGAAGATTTTATTTAGTCTTTTTTTTAAAACAAAAAAGAAAAAAAACCTACTTCATTTTATTTTCTTTTAAAGATGTCATAATTTTTACCTTTGCTGCCAAGGCTTTCAAACTGTCCAGGAATCTTTGCCAGAAGTCCTTGAAGAGTGGGCGGTCAATTTTCTTCAGGCTGTCTTTGGTGCTGGCATCCACGCTAACGTATAGCTGGGTAACCGGTTTGAGATTCCTTGGTAGTTTAAAATGAAAAACAATAAACACAACAATAAAAAAATAGTGTTATGCCTATTTCAGGCTTTTCATGATGTAAAATTACAATCTGTAATAGATGTGGCTATTAAACATTTCACTGTGTCTAGCGGCTTCTACTTCTCCCAGAAGACTGAAACAAGGATTTTAATCATGTGACAGAATGGGATGTTGATTATTTTTTTTTAAATGACTGGTCACCATCCCTAATAAACTGAAAACATTCAATTACTTAAAACCGGTCCCTCTTGCCGAAACCGGTTTGGCTCAGTGGATAGAGCGTCGGCCTGCGGACTGAAAGGTCCCAGGTTCGATTCCAGTCAAGGGCATGTACCTTGGTTGCGGGCACATCCCCAGTGGGAGATGTGCAGGAGGCAGCTGATCGATGATTCTCTCTCATCGATGTTTCTAACTCTCTATCTCTCTCCCTTCCTCTCTGTAAAAAATCAATAAAATATATTTTTACAAAAAACAAAACAAAAAAAACGGTCCCTCTTCAAACACTAGGTATTCGCAGAAAGTACACAAAACAAGATCTGGCTTAGTCAAAGCTTACACAGTTGAAATCTCACAACCATGTGGGGTCTGTGCTGATGGACCACCTTCCATCATCAATTCACTCATGGAAGTTTTCTAAGAAACAAGAAACAATCCCAAAAGCCCAAGCCTTCTTTAAAGGGCCGAAAAACCACACAATGCCTCACCTATGCCTAAGGGCAGAATTGGGTTCAAAGCCAAGCTTGCATGGGCAATGACTATTCCGGGAGATTTAAGCAATGCAGAGCTAGAACAGCAACCAAGCACTTACAAAGGACTCATTCATTTCATAATGTCATTCTTATCTACTAGATTTCTTGCCAGTTTTGTTTTAAGCCCAGACTGTACTTTTTCCAAAGTCTTTCTGTTCTCTCTTCAAATGGGCCTCATAATTCATTCTCTTCAATAAATTTAGACCTAGAAAGAAGGAAATCCCCCCCTTAATAATCCTATGAACAAATCCTTCCACTATTAATTTTCTATTACTATTCTACAATTTGTATTTACCACTAGAATGTTACTTATGCATTTTTGTTTCAAAATCTATGCATTTTTAAAAACTGAAATATAATTCACATGCCATAAAATTCACCATCAAAATGGTTTATGTGCTTTTTATGTCTATCAGTACCAGCCTTATCAATCTTTGAGTATAAGACCTTGAAGGACAGGAACTATATTTTTCTTTTTATCCAGCCATATAGGCAGACACTGAAAGCTACCTTTTAGTTGACTTCAGCTAACAGAACTTTTAAGGGCATGTAGGCCAAACAAATGATTGCAATGATCCGCCTTATTGATATATGGAAAAATCAGAAAGGTCTCATTAAAGGTGGAGAAGCTCTCAGCAAAGTTAGGAAAGAAGTGATTAAAATATTGGCAGACTCTCATTGCTTTAATCCCTCTTCAGCATTGAGATACAAAGGGAATCCTTAAAAGTTCAGGAATGTGTCACTACTGTGCAAAGATATCAATTACTAAAAATGCGAAACAATAGCATATGTAATGGCAGCATCCTGTCTCATCACTATTTTGCTGGCACCTCTTTAACAACAAATAAGCTATACTACCTTAACGGTACTTTATGTTCCACAAAAAATAAAAATAAAGAAGACTATTTTAATGGATACTATTGGGTTATCATTATCTGATACTTATGAGACGTTGTTATAAAGCTGTCTGATGCAAAGTAGGAACTGGCCTGACCTCTTCACTATGCCTCCATAACTACTTAAGATTATGAACAGTAAATTCCAAAGGCCATGGTTATTTTACAAACCTCCATCATTTGCAAAAAAAGGAAGCCCTGGACACTGACAGTACCAATAAGGGACTTTGTCAATACTAAATGTCTGAGGTGCTATAATGAAGGAAGTCTACAGATTTCTTACCAGGGAGCAGAGAAAGAATGGAGAAGAGGGAACGTCCCTGGGAATTATAACTCATTCAAAGGCAGTAAAAGTACGTTGGAAAATTTTTCTGAACTCAGGAATCTAATGTTTGCCTGGTATGGGCCTCTATTCCCCAGGAAAGGAATTGGGCTCCCAACATGATCATTTGTCCATTCTATACAGAGACAGCATCATTTTAATTCCCCAAAAGCAAAACATGTTTTATCCTTAACATCATCAAAATAATTGCTGTGCCTGAGAATCTCACATCACTGCTGAGAACAATAAAAAGGACTATATCAATACAATCCTAAATCCAACACCCAGTGATAATGCCCAATGAACTGTGATATGATTATTGTGATGACTCTTCATCCTGCTAATTTTAAATCCGAGTTGAGAATGATCATATATGAAATGCATTGTAATTGAACATAAAAATCTCTCTCCCTTTTTTTTCCTATAGAGATGTAGGCCTACTAATTTCTACAGAAAGGAAAAAAGGGAGAGGAATTTATGTTTGTAAGAAGTCAAGTGGATTAAATAGTAAGTTTGTTGACCCTATTGGACAAAAAAAAAAAAAATTCCCAAAATGGCCTAAACTTTCAATACCAGAATCCCTAAGGCAATCGGGAGCTGTCACATCAGGCCAAATAATTTGGGAGGAAAAGAGAAGGAGAAGATTTACTGAGCACTCATCATGTACTGAGTGCACTGTGCTATGTTTGACCTTTCTTGTTCAGTTCATTGAATCCTCATAATAAACAAGGTAGTTGCTACTTATGCCCATTTTAGAGATGAAAAAACTAAGGTTCAAAGAGATTACGGAGCTTGTTCAAGGATCCACAAAAAATATGTGGATAATCTTGTATTTAATAATTTAACAACAAGATTCAAGCCTAGAAGTACTCCAGAGCCTGTGTTCCTAGCCCTGTGCCACAATGCCTCCATCAAAATGGCCAGATCATAGGCAGTGCAGCTCAAGCCTCTCATCACAGAAACCCAAAAGTAGTATTTCAAGCCTCACAGCAGTATATCTCTAAGTGTGCTCAGGGCCAGCTGGATCAGCAGCACATGAAGCCCTGGCCAGTATGGCTCAATTATGAGAGTGTTGGCCTGCACACCAAAGGGTCTTGGGTTCAATTCCCAGTCAAGGGTAATTACCTGGGATGCGGATTCGCTCCTGCTTCCTGTCGGGGCATGTGCAGGAAGCAACCAGTCGATGTGTCTCTCTCACATGGATGTTTCTCTCTCTCTCTCTCTCTCTCTCTCTCTCTCTCTCTCTCTCTCCCTCCCTCCCTCCCTCCCTCCCTCCCTCCCTCCCTCCCTCTCCCCTCCCTCCCTTCCAGTCTCTCTGAAAAGCAATGGGAAAAATATCCTCAGGTGAGGATAAATAAATAAATAATTTTTTTTTTTTTAAAAGGAAGCACATGAAATGCAAGTTCTTGGGCCTCTCCCAAGACTGAATCAGCCTCCAGAAATGGGGCCTTAATAAGTATGTCAGTATTTTAGTTTCAAGAATGTCTCAACATTGATGAAAGAAATTGAAGACACAAATAGATGGGAAGATATTCCATGTTCACAGATCAGAAAAATTAATATCGTTAAAATGTCCATAATACCCAAAGCCATCTACAGATTCAATAAAATCCCTATCAAAATTCCAATGGCAACTTTTTACAGAAATAGAAAGAACAATCTTAAAATTCATGTAGAACTATAAAAAATGTTGAATAGCCAAAGTAATCCTGAGAAAGAACAAAGCTGGAGGCATTATACTTCCTGATTTCAAACTATACTACAAAGTTATAGTATTCAAAACAATAGGATACTGGCATTTAAAACAAAAACAAACACCCACATATGTTTATGGAAGGAATCGAGAGTCCAAAAAATAAACCCACCATATATGGTCAACTCATATTTGACAAGGGAGCCAAGAATTCTCAATGTGGAAAGGACAGTCTCTTCCATAAATGATGCTGGGACAACTGAATATTGACATGGGAAGAAAAATTATATTGGACCCCTATATTACACCACTCAGAAAAATTAAGCCAAAATGAGTGAAAAACTTAAATATAATACCTAAAACTGTAAAAGTCCTAGAAGAAAACACAGGGTAAAAGCCTGACATTTTGGTCTTGGCAACAATGTTTTGGATATGACACCAAAAGTGCAAGCAACCAAAGCAAAAATAAAGTGGAACCATATCAAACTAAAAAGCTTCTGCACAGCAAAAGACATAGTCAACAAAATTAAAAGGAAACCTACAGAATGGGAAAAAATATTTGCAAATCAATATCCAAAATATATAAGATCTTCAAAAAATTAAAAATAGAACTACTATATGATCCAGCAATCCCACTTTTGGGTATATATCCGAAGGAAATGAAATCAGTATCTTCAAGAGATATATGCACCCCAAACTTCAAGACAGCATTATTCACAACAGCCAAGACAAGGAAACAACCTAAGCATCTGTTGGTTCAAGCAGCATATCGTAATAAGCTGGGTCACTCACCTGATTTCCACAGGGAATTGTGCATTTGTGACCAGGAAACTGGAGATTTTACACTCATGGAGTAGCTTCAAAAACCTGTTGATTTCTGGGTACATGATGGGTTCTCCCACAAGGGACAATGCACAGTGCTTTACTGTCATTCCTTCTTTAAAACGTTCTTCTTTGACACCTGGTACACCTGGAAAACACAGTGAAAATGATCATGCTCAATAAGTCACAGATAGAGGAAAACTACTTTTATTTTTCTTTATTAAAATTTTTACATTTTTCCTAATGGTTCCTTGATTTTAGAAGGTGAATTTATTTTTTTATACCAGCCAGATAATAAAAAATGAGGGCCCAAGGGAAAAAAAAATCTAGAATTATTGAAACAGGAAAATTAGTCACCAATAGTTTTAGTACTAATTAAACTATGTCAATACAAGCAGGCAAAACTAACTTTATTAGCTAATTATTTGAGAAACACAGAACATATTACATTCCTTAATTTGCTTAGCTCTGCATTCTTTCATGTTTGTATAAATAAATGAACTCAATATATCTACATAAGGAAAAGCCTTGTCTAGACCATTCACTTCCCCCTTCATTTCTCAAGCTGTTTCTTTGCAAATATTAATAAAATTGAAAAACTCTAGCTAGACTAAGGAAAAACAGAGAAAAGACTTAAATAAACAAAATCAGAAATAAAAAAGAGAAGTTACAACAGACACCACAGAAATAAAAAGGACTATACAAGAATACTATGGAAGGCTATATGCCACCAAATTTGATAACCTAGAAGAAATGGACAAGTTCTTAGAAATATATAACCTTCCTAGACTGAACCATGAAGAACTGGAAAATCTAAACAGACCAATTGACAGTAAAGAAATTGAAACATTCATTAAGGCATCCCTTAATGGTCCAAGACCATGTGGCTTCACTAGTGAATTCTACCAAACAGTCAAAGAAGATTTAATACCTATCCTTCTCAAACTCTTCCAAATAATTAAAGAGAGGAAATACTTCTAACTCATTTTATGAGGCCAACATTACCCTCATACCAAAACCTGGCAGGACAACTCAATAAAAGAAAATTGCAGACCAATATCTCTGATGAATATGTCATATCAAATACAGCAATACATTAAAAAGATAATAAATCACAATTAATTGTGGTTCAACCAGGGGCACAAGGATGGTTCAACGTATGCAAATTGATGCATGTGATACACATTAACAAAATAAAAGATAACAAAATCATATGATCATATAAAAATGCAGAAAAATCATTTGACAGATGACATCTATTTATGATGAAAACACTCAATAAAATGGGTATAAAAGGAAAGTACCTCAATATAATAAAAGCCATATATGATAAACCCTCACTTAATACACTCAACGGCAAAAAACTGAAAGCTTGTCCTCTGAGATCAGGAAAAAGACAAAGTGCTCACTCTCCTCACTATTATTCAACACAACACTGCAAGTCCTAGCCAGATCAATCAGGCACGAGAAAGAAATAAAAAGGTATCCAAATTGGGAATGAAGAAGTAAAATTGTCACCTTTTACAAGATGACATGTTTCTTCATATAGAAAACCCTAAGGACTCCACCAAAAGACTACTAGAAACAATAAACAAATAAAGTTGCAGGATGCAAAACCAATACACAAAATCCATTGTGTTCCTGTATACTAACAACCAATACGAGAAAGGGAAATAAAGACAACAATCCTATTTACACTTTTAACAAAAACGATAAAAATGCCTAGGAATAAACTAAACAAAGAGAGTAAAGGACCTATACACTGAAAAACTATAAAACATTGTTGGGGGGGAAAAATCGAAGAAGACACAAAGAAATGGGAAGATATTCCATGTTCTTGGATTGGAAGAATTAACATTGTTTAAATGGCCGTATTACCAAACACAATCTACATATTTAAGCATTCCTCATAAAAATCCCAATGGTATTTTTAAAAGATATACAATAAAATCATAAAATTTGTATGGAACCACAAAAAACACTGACTGTATAGCCAAAGCAATCTTGGGGGGGTGGGGGGCGGTGAGGAGGGGGCAACAAAGCTGGAGGCATCAGACTCCCAGACTTCAAATTATACTACAAAGTTGCAATAATCAAAATAGTATCATACTGGTAGAAAAACAGACCAATGAGACAGAACCTAGAGCCCAGAAATATGCCCATATTTATGGGCAACTAATTTTTTATAAAAAAGCCAAAAACATACAATGGAAAAAAGAAAGCTTCTTCAATAAATGGTGGGAAAATTGGAAAGCCACATTAAAAAAAAATGAAACTAGACTTCTATTTGACATCATACACAAAAATTAACTCAAAATGGATCAAAGACCTAAAACAAAAAATACATAGAAGAAAATAAAGGTACTAAACTTATGGACCTTGGTCTCAGAGAGGATATAGAAATTTGACACCAAAGGCAGGAAAGTAAAAGTAAAAATAAATAAATGGAACTATATCAAACCTAAAAGCTTCTGCAAAAGAAAGAAACCATCAACAAAACAAAAGAAACCATCAAAACAAAAAGGCAACCAACTAAATGGGAGAAAATATTTGCAAATAATACTTCCTATTAGGGGCTAGAGAACTCATACAGCTAAACAACAAAAAACCAAACAATCCAATTTTAAAAGTGGGCAGAGGACCTAAAACAGACACTTTTCTTAAATGCCCAACAAATATATGAAAACATGGTCAACTTCACTAGCTATAAAGAAAATGTAAATCAAAACCACAATGAGATATTAATTTACACCTGTTAGAATGGTTGTTATCAATAAGACAAGAAATAAGCATTAGAGAGGATGTGGAGAAAAGGAACCCTCATACACTGCTGGTGAGAGTGTAAAATGCTACAGCCACTATACAAAAGAGCATGAAGGTTCCTCAAAAAATTAAGAATAGATCTAACTACCAATATTACCCAGCAATCTATTCTTCTGGGTATATAACTGGAAATTTTGAAAACATGTATTCATTCAGATACATGTACCCCTATGTTCATTGCAGTATTATTCATGGTATCTAAGACATGGAAAAATCATAAGTATCCTTTGATGGATGACTGGATAAAGACGCATACAATGGAATATGACTCAGCTTAAAGAAAGGATGAAATGCTGACATTTGGGACAATGTGGGTAGATCTTGACAGTTATCATGCTAAGGGAAATAAGTCAGATGAAAAAGGGCAAGAACCATATGATTTCGCTCATATATAGGATATAAAACAGAAAGCAACAGAAGAACAAACAAATTCACTGGCACAGACAACAATATGGTGGTTACCAGAGGGAAGTGGAGTGGTGGGAGATTGAAGAAGGTAAAGGGGGTCAAACATGGTGATGAAAGGAGACTAGATGTTGGGTAGTGAGCATACAATAATATACAGATGATGTATTATAGAACTGTACACTTGAAACTTATATAATGTTACTAACCACTATCACCCTAATAATTTTAAAAGAACCAATTGATGAAATATTCACGTTAAGTGGATTAAACAAAAACATAGATAATTTCATTTTTAAAAAACCTTGTGGGCAAACTTTTTAAAGTAATAATTCTGTGATTTAATAATTTCCCTTTTTCTTTTTACTGAAAAGGTTTTATCACGCACAGTGTGAGGGGAGGCTAATGTTTTCAAAAGTAAGCCTTGAGAACAAAGCCTTGGTTCTCTCATTCAAAAAGCACAATTCTGTGCTAAATGCCAGAGGCTCTTACAGTGTTCCTCTCAAAAACAAGGTCCTTGGGGACTCAACTTCATGCCTTCCTTCACTGTCCTCAAAGAAATGTGTCAGAAAAGACGACATCCTCTAAATTTCTAATGGAAAGAAGTCCTGGAGCAGGAAGACAGTCCAGGGAACAGCACACATTACATTTCATTAGGAATCTATTCCCCACCGTCTGTCTCTGTCTTTCTGTGTCTCTCTCTAGCACAATCTGTTCTCTTGCTTCCCTATACAACATCCCTTTCACAACTAAACTCTGCTTTGTTATTCTGACTTACTTTTGTTGTTTTTTCTGAAGTATGTTTTCTGACCTTTCTCTTATCCTGAACAGCCACTTGATCCTGGACAATCACTAGTCATCAGATCAACTATGAAGCATACCTCATTCTCATTTCACTGAAAAACTCCAGAGTAGTAACTTCAGATTCCAGACATTTCATTCTAATGTTATAGCAATAAGCTGCATAACACAGAAATAAACATGATATACTGTTAAGCATAGAGTATGTCTATTTCTTATTGGGGGGGCAGTTAATAATAAATCTTTATTCTGAATACTTTCTTATATCTTTTTTATTGAGTTATCATTGACATATATGAATATTCCTGTTTTTATTTTTTTATATTTTATTGATTTTTTTACAGAGAGGAAGGGATAGGGATCGAGAGTTAGAAACATCGATGAGAGAGAAACATCGATCAGCTGCCTCCTGCACACCCCCTTACTGGGGATGTGCCCGCAACCAAGGTACATGCCCTTGACCGGAATCAAATCTGGGACCCTTTAGTCCTCAGGCCGATGCTCTATCCACTGAACAAAACCAGTCAGGGCTATCCTATTTTTAAAGATTGGACCAATTTAAAATAAAATATTCCCTATTTTCTTTTTATAACAATACAGTTCCTGACCACAGATCTTCCTAAGAAACCCTCCTGGCTGAACGTCATATACTATAATATATGTTCGCCATAGCAACTGCCACTGTGAGGTGTTCCATAAATAAGCTTCAGAAAACAATTAGCAGGTAGTGTTCTCTTCCCCACCTCCACATTTCTTTTGGATGTGTACTTCAGCATACCTCCTTTGTGAAAACTTTTGGGGATCTTTTATTTTCTGCCTTACTTCACTTCTAGCTTAAACTATAGATAAAAACATCTAGCAACAAATGATGTCTTTTCATCTTTCACCTTCAGCACTGAGGCCATTCTAATAAGGGTTCATTCATGCGATGTCTGTTGAACTGATGGGAAACTGAGCTAAAGAAACCCAGCCCCAGCCTGTTTGGCTCAGTAGATAAGAGTGTTGGCCTTCAGACCAAAGGGGCCCGGGTTCAATTCCAGTCAAGGGCATGTACCTCAGTTACAGGCTCCTCCCTCCTGCAGGAGGCAACCAATCAATGTGTTTCTCTCACAACAATGT